CTTATCCATATCCTGGGTCGATCCTGGCGGTCTATAGCACACACCAAGCACTATCCCCGGAGAGGCTCTAGTAGTTCTTTTACCCAGTGTGAGTATTGCCCAGACGGACTCTGTTATCTATTCCATCCACTATTATGCTTTTACAGGTGGAAACAGACAATTTACTTGAGAAACTTTGTAGCCATAGGATTAGAAAACACTGTTCTTCCCCCCTGAGTGGCAGAAATGGCTGCCAGGTGAAGCTTCACTGAATTTAAGAAAGGGCCAGAAGATTTGTCCTGGACATGCACCCTTATTGACTGAATCCCTTGAGCAGAAGTCAAAAGTGAAGAACACTTCCACTTAGCTAAATAGGTGGAGCTAGTTGATTGTTTCCTTCTGTTACGTAAAACCTCTTGGAACGTTATGAAGCCTCTCTTCCTGGTATGTCCATATCCCTTGGGCCCCCATGAACCACCCAGGTGAGCATCCCAGCCTAATGTAGAAGTGTCAGTTGTAATTGTCCTAGTTGGAAGGGAACAAGAAAAGGGATTCCCCGCACATACAATGTCCTAGCCCATTCACTACTCCAGAGTAAGACTACAGGAGGAACTTGGACTAACTTGTCCAGATGTCTGCTTGGTTGGTAAACCAACTTCAGCCATGTTTGTATGTAGAGGATGAAAATGCAGTCTGGAATGCATGGTCACATACACACATGGAGCCATGTGACCTACCAATGTGAGACATGCTCTGGCCATAGTGGACAGGTGACACCTGACGGACACACAAAGACTGTAAATGGTCGAAACCTCTCAAGGAAGAAAGGCCCTCACTACCATAGAGTCAAGCAGAGCCCCAATGAATTTCAGCCTCTTCATGGGCACTAATGTGGACTTCTCTTTGTTCAGCATGAGCCCTAGCCAGTCAAAGAGATGGAGAATGAATTGAAGCTGATTGAGGACCTCACAGAGTGATGTGCCCTGGATGAGCCAATCATCTAGTAAGGAAAGATATGTATCCCAATCCTTCTCAAGAATACTGACACCTCTGCTATGCGTTTCATAAACACATGAGGAGCTGACAATAGGCCAAAGGGAAGAACGGTGTATTGATAGTGTCTCCTCACTACCATAAATCTGAGGAACTTCCTATGACTTGGTATCATTGTGATGTGGAAGTAAGCATTGCAAAGATTGAGGGCAGCAAACAAATTGTTCCAATTCTGAGGGGGAGGATAGATGTCAGGGAAACCATGTAGAATCTCACTTATTTAGTGAACTTGTTGAGACCGTAAAGGTTCAAAATGGGCCTTAGACAACACTTGGACTTGGGAATTAGAAAATGTCCAAATAAAACCCCTTTCCTTGAAACTGTATGGGAATTTCTTCCACAGCCCTTACAGCAAGCAGCATCTGGACCTTTTGAAGGAGCAGAGGCTCATGAATTGGGTACCTGAAAAAGGACGGGGAAGGGGGAATGGGAAGGAATTGGATTGACTATCCCAGTCTCAAGGTACTTAGGGACCACTTGTCTGTCATTATCCAGAAAGTGAGATAGTTTGCTCCCAAATGGAGAGACAATAGTGTGTGGGTTGTGAATAACTAGGTTGCTGTCCTCATTGGAAAAGTCAAAGGCAGATTTTCCTTGCAGATGTCTGAGAATGGGCCTGCTGGTTGGAGTCTGAGCTAGTGGACCTTCTTCTCTGAGGTCTATGCGTACTTTTCAGCATGTCAACTTGCCTGGGTGGTAGAAAGGATTTCTATAGTACTGCTAGGAGTACTAGGTATGCAGGGAGTTGTGTCTCTTTTCTTGGATACTGGGACATAAACTCTTTAAGAAGCAGAGGGTTGCTTGAAGGTCTTTTAAATGAGTGCAATATTTCATCAATTTTATCTGAAAACAGAAAATGCCCAAAGGGAAGGTCTTCTATACTGTTGTATGTTGTGGGCTATCCCAGAGTTATATAGTCATGAAACTCTTCTCATTGCAGAGGCCATAGTTCCAGAGGAACCATCTGCAACATCCAAGGTAGACTGAAGAGATGTCTTTGTGACCAGATGGCCCTCTGCCAAAAAGGCTTTGAACTCTTCCTGGGAGTCCTCAGGGAGTTTATTTGTAAATTTTGACAAGCCTCCCAGGTATGAAAAATCATACATAGCTAACAGCACCTGTTGATTAGCTATTTGCATTTGGAGAAATGACTTAGAATAAATCTTTCTGCCCAGGGCACTCATTCTTTTCAGTTCTCTTTCTTTGGGTGTTGACATGAACCTTTCTTGCATTGACTTCTCAATGGCAGCCAAGATTACCAGGGAATTTGGAGACAGCTGAGAGTAAAAGACACTTGAATCCCTGGGCAAGCATACGATCATAGAATCATAGAATATCAGGGTTGGAAGGGACCTCAGGAGGTCATCTAGTCCAACCCTTTGCTCAAAGCAGGACCAATCCCCAACTAAATCATCCCAGCCAGGGCTTTGTCAAGCCTGACCTTAAAAACCTCTAAGGAAGGAAATTCCACCATCTCCCTAGGTAACCCATTCCAGTGCTTCAACACCCTCCTAGTGAAAAAGATTTTCCTAATATCCAAACTAAACCTCCCCCACTGCAACTTGAGACCATTACTCCTTGTTCTGTCATCTGGTACCACAGAGAACAGTCTAGATCCATCCTCTTTGGAATCCCCTTTCAGGTAGTTGAAAGCAGCTATCAAATCCCCCCTTATTCTTCTCTTCTGCAGACTAAACAATCCCAGTTCCCTCAGCCTCTCCTCATAAGTCATGTGCTCCAGCCCCTAATAATTTTTGTTGCCCTCTGCTGGACGCTTTCCAATTTTTCCATAGCCTTCTTGTAGTGTGGGACCCAAAACTGGACACAGTACTCCAGATGAGGCCTCACCAATGCCGAATAGAGGGGAACGATCACATCCCTCGATCTGCTGGCAATGCCCCTACTTATACAGCTGAAAATGCTGTTAGCCTTCTTGGCAACAAGGGCACACTGCTGACTCATATCCAGCTTCTCGTCCACTGTAACCCCTACGTCCTTTTCTGCAGAACTGCTGCCTAGCCACTCGGTCCTAGTCTGTAGCAGTGCAAGGGATTCTTTTGTCCTAAGTGCAGGACTCTGCACTTGTCCTTGTTGAACCTCATCAGATTTCTTTTGGTCCAATCCTCTAATTTGTCTAGGTCCCTCTGTATCCTATTCCTACCCTCCAACGTATCTACCACTCCTCCCAGTTCAGTGTCATCTGCAAACTTGGTGAGGGTGCAGTCCACGCCATCCTCCAGATCATTAATGAAGATATTGAACAAAACCAGCCCCAGGACCGAACCTTGGGGCACTCCACTTGATACCAGCTGCCAACTAGACATGGAGCCATTGATCACTACCCGTTGAGCCCGATGATCTAGCCAGCTTTCTATCCACCTTATAGTCCATTCATATGCTCATGCTTCTTTAACTTGCCGGCAAGCATACTGTGGGAGACTGTACCAAAAGCTTTGCTAAAGTCAAGGAATAACATATCCACTGCTTTCCCCTCATCCACAGAGCCAGTTATCTCATCATAGAAGGCAATTAGGTTAGTGAGGCATGACTTGCCCTTGGTGAATCCATGCTGACTGTTCCTGATCACTTTCCTCTTCTCTAAGTGCATCAGAATTGATTCCTTGAGGACCTGCCCCATCATTTTTCCAGGGACTGAGGTGAGGCTGACTGGCCTGTAGCTCCCCGGATCCTCCTTTTTCCCTTTTTTAAAGATGGGCACTACATTAGCCTTTTTCCAGTCATCCAGGACCTCCTTCGATCGCCATGAGTTTTCAAAGATAATGGCCAATGGCTCTGCAATCACATCTGCTAACTCCTTTAGCCCCTTGGATGCAGCGCATCCGGCCCCATGGACCTGTGCTCGTCCAGCTTTTCTAAATAGTCCTGAACTACTTCTTTCTCCACAGAGGGCTGGTCACCTCCTCCCCATGCTGTGCCGCCAAGTGCAGTAGTCTGGGAGCTGACCTTGTTCGTGAAGACAGAGGCAAAAAAAGCATTGAGTACATTAGCTTTTTCCACATCTTCTATCACTAGGTTGCCTCCCTCATTCAGTAAGGGGCCCACACTTGCCTTGACTTTCTTTTTGTTGCTAACATACCTGAAGAAACTCTTCTTGTTACTCTTAACATCTCTTGCTAGCTGCAACTCCAAGTGTGATTTGGCCTTCCTGATTTCACCTCTGCATGCCTGAGCAATATTTTATACTGATAGCTATTTACAGATTTAATGAAGTTAAGAGCTAACTATGTAGCAGAAAAAAAACCATGAGGAGAACCACATGGGAAGTTGCGACTCAGGCCATGAGTGATAAGAAGGGACTGAGGGGGTCAGGATGGCATCAGCCTTATATAGCCTTAGGAGGAGCCACGAGGAGGCTCAAGGCATGTTTGTCACTCTGACGAGTACTACTCCAGCACACTGGTCACACACACACTTGAGTGGAATTCTGGTCTGCATCCATTGGAAGAAGAATATGTATAGACTTAAAAATTACAACGGATCGACAGATATCCTGAAACCAGATATCCTGATCCCAGAAACAAGAGGAATTTTTCTCTCAGCACTATCATGGTAAACTGGGTGTGCTTGAGTGCAAGTCAGCATAATTTTGTACAAGGATGTTGTGTTTAAAAGACAAAACAGATCAAATACACCACAATAATCAGCACTGCCATGTGTTTTCTGCTCCCACAAGAATGGGGCCAGGACTTCACTGTCCAAGATTCTAGAGTTCTGGTGGCTACCAAGAACATAAAACAAGTACAGAACATTTTTTTACAGGTCCTCCTGGTAGTAAGCGGAAAAGGTCGGTTGATTCCATCCTCTTGAGTAAAGATAGCTTGCCACCCCTCAGGTGATCACACAAGCAATCTCCCCATTGCACAGGGAAGGTTTATGTACCATTGTGCCGCCTGCACAAGGAGAGCACAAAGCAAGGGGTGGGAGAGAGATCATCTGTCTGAAGGGAAGTTGCTTGAATCATTTTCAGCTCCTCCATTCTTTCCTGAAATAAACTGACTTTTCATCTCTCAACTGGAAGCTGCTTGAGAGCTTTCCCTGCTGCAGATGCGCCATGCAGGTGTACGCACATGCAGATGGAGGTGTGATGCTTGCAGAAATGACTGGAAGCTAACAGCAGTTCAGGCTGGCTTGGCTGTTGCTTTCTGGAGTCTCCAGTGAATTTCCTTCTATTTCTGTAAATGAGGAAACCAAAGGGTTACATAATTAATCCATGTGGGATCACCTTCCATTAATAAAGATGACAGAGACCAGATTCAGCCTTCAGTAACACTTGTGCAACTACACATAAGAACCAAGATAGACAGACAATGAGGTCAGAGAGGTTGCGCTGGTATAAATGAGGCAGAATTTGGCACTCAAGAAACATCCGCATTCCCCCAAACTTTTAAGTGATTGAAGTGGACAGAGAGAGTGAAGCTGAACGTACTGATGAGGTTTCCTGCCCCAATCTGGGCCATGCGACCATTGCTCTTCTCCAGCTCTTTCAGCATAGACTGTTCAAAGGCCAAGGCAGCAACTCGAGAAAAAAACTCCTTTACATTTTCCCCTGGGAAACAGGAGAGAACCACCATGTTTTACAAACCCACAGCTACGCACGATCAAATATACAAACATAACACAAACTACTGGTCAAACTGGAGAGTAAAGTCATAGTGTGCCACCCTAAAAGTGCTCCCCACACAGTGACAGTATATCCTGGAGACCCACCACCCCATGGTGACATTTTCTCATTTCCCTCCTTCAACCACACATACAAATATATTTTTGATGAGCAGCAGCAGAGGAAACGTGTGGTGCAATATAGCTTCCTATGGCCTCAGTTTGAGCACTGATACACACACACACACACACTCACTCAAGCACTTGTGCACCATCATCTATGAATAAACTTAGACAATGCACACAAATACAATGCACGTTTCTGCAAACATGATTGTACAAATGTACATACAGCCATGTAGAACCATTTAGAAACATATATCCTCAAACACATATATAGCCTAGTGTGCACATGATCAACTGGTGTGCACACAATCAGGGGAAGTAACTTGATACCCTCTTTCCCAGCAAGTGGAACTGGCCACACTCAACCAGTCTCCAGTGCAGTGACTAACCTGTTTTTGCTGAGACAGACCAGTATTCAGCCTGCATCTCATTGGCAAAGCGAATGGCATCCAGTTCTGTCCGCTCACATGCGGCACCTGACTGAATAAAACAGCAGGGAATCACTTTGTCTGCAACATACAGCAGGCACAATATTCCCAGATTATATCTGGGGTAACAGTAATGCAAAGATGCTACCAGTCCCTACATTGTGAAACTTTCAGCTTTCACAGTAGCCAGTCCTTCCTTTTCCTGGCCTTGCCTTAGAGCTTGTACACCAGGATGTCCCATATATCAAGACAGAACTAGTGAAAGAAAACAGCGAGATAGATATTTTACAGGGAAACTTTTTAAATATAATTCTCCCTCTCTATTCCACAGAAGTGAAGCATCAGATAGCAGAAGTGAACACATTAACAATATGGGAGTCTAGAGAGCTATCAAATGCTGCCTTCAGGTGGTTATTATAATTTGTATTACCATAGCGGTGAGGAGCCCTACTCATGGACCAGGACCCCATTGTGTTAGATGCTGTACAAATAGAGAACAAAAGAGATGGTCTCTAAATAATTCTAAGCAGAAAATTACAGGAGCCACCAACAATAGGGCGTTAGTAATTGTGATGGTCCTTTCTCCTTGCTCTTCCTCCTCCATCGGTCTCATGTTGCTCTCCTGATTTCACTCCTCTTTCTAACCCTGATTTCACTCCTCTTTCTAACCCTCTTTTGCTGTTTTCTCTCCCCCTCCACTTTTTTGCTCTCTTGCTAATCTTTTTTCCTCTTAATCTGCTTTTCTGTTATTGCCTTCTTTTCCTTTCCCTTCTATTTTCATATTATTTATTTTTAATTTCTTGTACCTTTATTTTCATTTTAAAAGACTTTCTCTCTCTTAACTTGCTCTCTATGGTCAACTGGCTATAGATAGAAATTGACTAGTATTGTGTAATCCTAAAGCCCCGTCCTGCAAAGTGCTTAATTTAAACATGTGAGTAATCCCAATAAAGTCAATGGAACTACTCAAATGTTTAAAGTTAAGTATTTGCATAAGCAGCAGCAGGATCAGGACCCAAGTCAGTTTCTCATTGCCACTAGCTCCATTAACAGCTTCTCACTGCTTCAGCCACTGTTCGCTGGCTTACAATTACTCAAAGTGCATCTGGGAGAGTGATAGATGATCAGCAAGCACCTCAAGAGTATTTATAGGTGGGGAATCTAATAATCAGCCTATTGTACCTGCTGACATCTTTCCAGTTTTAATCCAATATTCTCCTGCCACACAAGACAAAGTCCCACATTCCTCCAAACAGAATTTCTTCTTACTTCCAGTTCCACCTGAGCCCATCTCTCGTGTCCCCTGACCTCTCAAACCTGTTTAATTTTTTCTGCTACCTACACTATCTGCTGCCCTGATACAGGCCAGAAGATTTTAAGAGCTTCACATGTTGTAATTGATAGGAGCAAAGCCTTCTGGGATGCATTAGCACTCCTTCAGACAGCCAAGGAACTGATGGAAAGTAAGTGGGCTACGGAGCTTTAGGGATATGAGTAGCATTGCAGGCAGCAACTGAAAGAAAATATAGCTAAACAGCAGGAAAGGGTGTTTACTTTTGAATCATTAAATTTTGACAGGGTGGTGGCTAATGAAGGAGATAAACTCAAGTCTGAAGAGGCCAACTGCTCCCTCCTCCTTTTGCAAATGACCCCCGCAAAGAAGCAGGGGGTGGGGACATAACTGAGCTTTTAAATCCATTGTCTACATAGCAGTCTTTAGGGGTGTTACCATGGCACTGAATCTTCTCAGGTCTTAAACTTTGCTGTGTGTGACTTCAGGTCATAGAATCATAGAATCATAGAATATCAGGGTTGGAAGGGACCTCAAGAGGTCATCTAGTCCAACCCCCTGCTCAAAGCAGGACCAATTCCCAACTAAATCATCCCAGCCAGGGCTTTGTCAAGCCGGGCCTTAAAAACCTCTAAGGAAGGAGACTCCACCACCTCCCTAGGTAACGCATTCCAGTGTTTCACCACCCTCCTAGTGAAATAGTTTTTCCTAATATCCAACCTGGACCTCCCCCACTGCAACTTGAGACCATGGCTCCTTGTTCTGCCATCTGCCACCACTGAGAACAGCCGAGCTCCATCCTCTTTGGAACCCCCCTTCAGGTAGCTGAAGGCTGCTATCAAATCCCCCCTCATTCTTCTCTTCTGGAGACTAAACAATCCCAGTTCCCTTAGCCTCTCCTCATAAGTCATGTGCTCCAGACCCCTAATCATTTTTGTTGCCCTCCATTGGACTCTTTCCAATTTTTCCACATCCTTCTTGTAGTGTGGGGCCCAAAACTGGACACAGTATTCCAGATGAGGCCTCACCAATGTCGAATAT